TGTAGATGATGGTAAAAGAGTAGATTTGGTGTATCTGGATTTTCAGAAAGCATTTAACAAGGTGCCACATAAAAGGCTTGTAAAAAAATTAGCCCTATAGACGTGAGGATAAGTTAGCTAATTGGTTAGAAAAGTGACTGGATGGAAGAAAGCAGAGGGTTGTTACAAATGGAGTTTAGTCAAACTGAATTAATGTCACAAGTGGGGTACCTCATGGTTCAGTCTTAGGACCTTTGCTCTTTTTGATTTACATCAGTGCAGTGACATAGATGAAATAATGGTCAATAAGATACTTAAATTTGCAGATGATATTAAGGTCTTGGGTGTTGATAGCTGTGAAGAGGATGCTACTGATTTACAAAAGGATTTAGATCAGTTAGTGATTGGGCAAATAAGTGGCAAATGAGTTTTAGTTATAATAAATGCAAAACAATGCATATGGTTTATCATAATTTGAATCATAAGTATAATTTTGATGGGAATAACCTTAATAGTGTTATGAAGGAAAGGGATCTTAGTATAATAGTCGATCAGTCTCTAAAGCCATCCAAGCAGTGTGCTGTTGTTAGTGGTAGGGCAAATAGGATTTTAAGTTGTATCTACAGAAATATTGAATACAAGTCTGAATAGGTTATAATTTCATTGTATAAGTCACTGGTTAGGCCGCATTTGGAATATTATGTTCAGTTTTGGGCTCCTTACCTTAGGAAAGACATTGAATTGTTGGAACTGGTTCAGAGAAGGGTTACTAGAATGGTGCCTGGGATGGAAAGGTTGTCATACGAGGAGAGGTTGAACTCTCTAAAATTGTTTTCTCTTTAAAAAAGAAGATTTAGGGGGGATCTGATTGAGGTGTTTAAGATTGTAAACGAAATTGATAGTGTTGATACATCATCTTTTTCTACACTTAACCATGAGAATAGTAAGACTAGGGGACACAAGTGTAAATTTTGGCAGGGTAGAAGTCATCTTCAGCTAAGACAGTTTTATTTTTCTAACAGGGTGGTTGGCCTTTGGAATGGGTTGCCTTCGAATGTCGCGGAGGTAGTAAATTTAAGTGAGTTTAAAAGAAAGCTTGATAAGTACATGAATAGTAAAAGCTGACTTTAAGATTCTTTTAAAACTTATTTATTAATAGTTTTAGTTTAGTTTAGAGGATGGAACATCCAAGATGCCCCATGTTGTCCAAAAACGTTTTGTTATGTTCTAATTCCATGTCATGTGTAAAGTGTCGTTAAATAAATTAACAGCTATCAACTGTTTATCTACTTTTGGGCCACCCTGTATATCTGAAAGAAATTTCCAATAAAAAATAAGTTT